ATTTTAACTGATTCATGGTTTATTTCTGAAAACAAATGCCGTTGTTGGACACACACAAACACACCGAAACATACACACACAGATTTTTTATCCAGACTATGCGGAGCTGAGCAGAGCACATACACACAGTTGCTGTTTTGTTCTTTATGTAATTGTGGTAACGTTCCATCCATTGCGCCTTTGTAGCATGGGAGCATGGTGTGGTTATGAGCATACTGTTGGAGTACAAATATTCTGGATGAGAATCGGGCGTTCGATGTGTGTGTGTGCAAAGGTAATGCAGCCGTGAGGCTGCGGGGCATCAGTGAAGGCGTGGGTGACGCGCTGGGTTGCTAGTCACTTGTGCTCATGTGAGAGGCTGCCCTAGATGTGCGCCCATTTCATGAGTGAAGGAGGGTTTTACAAATAAAAAAAAGGCTCTACACCCTGGCCGCAATGTCCTTTAAAATGAAGTCAGAGTTCAAAATATATCTCAAAATACATAGATATCAGCACTGCCATTTCCCCACATATAACATAAACAGTCTGCTGTTAAAGGTTGTCATCCTGTGGTGCTCACTTCCTATTGGCGCACCAGTAACTTATCTCTGCTGCAGGAGAGGCTGAGACCCACCGACAGGTACTGCAGCAGTGAGCGCGGTGACTTGAACAATGGTCGACGGCGCCTGGCAACCGATCGCCTTTTTTCAGCCGCCAGTTTGACTCCCATGGATGCGCAAGTACAGCACTTTCGACAGAGAACTGCCTTGGTCACTATTTGGCGGTTCGCCACTTTCGTTTCACTGCTGCGGCAGGCCGGGAGTATTGCAGCGTTCGTGGACACAAGCCAACTGACCTCTGCATGTCCAAGGTGGCCAGCGTGGTCCCAGCTGTTCCGGAGTTCATGTCTTTATATGCGCGGAAGCGTGTATTCGTATCATCTCCACGAGTACACCAGGTGTGTATTAGTTTGAATCATTGTACCTGTACAGTCTCTTTCCCTGACAGCAGTGAAGATGCTAAGTGTCCATACACCATGTACGTCTTTACTGTAACTGTTGGTAATAATGACATGTTTTAATATCGGTCAGAGTTGGGCCTCGACTGAGATTTCTTCATGGACGCTGAACCGAACACCTCTGCACCACCAGCTGCAGACCAACTCAAAGGAGGATACTACGATACAAGGCATCACAGCTGGGAGGAGGTCCGGTCGGACTCTGCGCAAGTGTGGTGTGACGTCTCCACGGTCGCCTTGACTGCTGGTAACTGGGCTGGTGCAAACCATTTTTCGAGACGGTTCACCAACATACACACAACCGAGTAATAGCCGTACTGTGGAAGTATGTCTGTCACAGAAGTTCCATGTAGGCAGAGGCATAAAGAAGGACGCCAGCGGTCCTCGATCGACTCGTCGTGGCCTGTCAACGGCCCAAGTCCAACCTTGCCATACTCAGCGACAACCCGGATGCACTCATTGGACGGTTCGCCGAGAAGAGGATCTGACCATGAGATGTCGAGCTGCATCCATGGGTCCGCTGGCCAGGCTCACGTCTGCAACGCTACCCGCTAACGATGGTGGGGACAGGCAGAGCCTGCTGAGCAGCGCGAGGACGTTCCCTCGCCTAGACGTCAGCTTCCGACGTTGTCCACTCTTCCATCATGAACAATTGGGTGGCGACTCTGTGGGACCTTACACTCTGCACCGCCTCGCTCTGACCCGGCTGTCGTTCAGCACCTTATCAGAGCGCTCTGGAACGCTGTTGCTCACGTTTGGGGTCTCGAAAGCTGCACGGCACCACCTGCATTAAATCACGGCGTCAGGCTAAACGGATGCGCTGAGCGTTAGTCCGTTCCGAAGAGACGGTGCCGCTTGAACAACACAGACCGGTAACTGGGCGGATAAGCTCCCCAGAGGTTTAAGATCTGCCGTCAGCTGTACCGACAAAGAAGACAAGACAGTCCAAGTCGCAGAGCTTGACATGGCCAGACGCTACACGCCCACGTATAGTCCTTCCTCCATCGTGTTCTTCATGTTGTTCCTCTGATCTCTGAGGCTGAGCTCGCTCTTCCTTCCTGCATGTTAGTCCTTACTGTGCCAGTCTGCTGTGGGAAGCGTGGCAGAAGATGCTGCAGGTTATCTGTGGGACCTAGTTTTCCTCACTAAATTGTTAATAGATAGATCCTGATGCCGCATGGAGGCTCATCTGTGGAGCCCGAGCCTCGCCATAAGCAGCCAGAAATAGCACCTCTCACACACTGGGAAGGTCAACTTTCTTAAAGAATTCACCAACAATTCCCTCCCTGTTCCAATCCACAAACCCCTGTTTCAAAAAACATAACATGGGCACCCATACAACTTTTGAGTCAGACAGCTCCTGAATGGATTTGTTAATGAAATGCATTTTGCCACCACAAGCAATCCCAGTAAGCACTGTTTCTGTTCTTATTTACATTCTAGATAAGTAAACAGCATTTTTATTTTTTATTTAATTAATTACCCCCAAAAGCATTTTCCTCTTAATTGGAAATTTGATTAAATTCAAAAATCACTGAAGGATGTGGAATGATTGTGCTGTCAGGTTTTAGTGGTGTTTTAAGTAGCTGTTATGTGGACACATATAGCCTTTAGGAACAGATACTGATATGTTGGACAAGGTAATTTAGAGATGGCCCTGAGCCCAATAAAGATTGCCCTGAAAAATGCGCGCGGACGAAATTACGCACGAAGGGTTTGGGGGGTCACCCCCAAGAACATTTAGATTTTTGCAGGTCTTACTGTAGATGCTGTCTGGTGCATTCTCTAGACTGAATTATAAGATGAACCACCACAATATTATATTGCACAATTTCAATTGTATTCTTCATTTCACTTGTTTGTTTGCTCTTGTTTGCTCGCTTGCATGCCCTGCATAGCTATAAGAAATACTTAAGTTGTTGGTCAAGACACTTTCCATCTGATGAAGGCAAATGCCTTCCCAGATGTAAAAAAGTAGAAAACATTACATTCAGTTATAACTGCCAAAACAAACATTATTTACACTATTATGGCCCCTGTTAAAAATGTTTGTAATGTTATCTACTGTAAGTTGTTCGAATGAATGCTTCCTCATCCGGAAGCTGACCGAGCAGACCCGAGCAGCAGTCGAGAGGAAGGAGCCGAGCGCATCCGCGAAGCACATAACATGGTGACGTCGGAGTTCCCGTTAGCCGGCAAATCTAAATCTCTTCGGTCAAAATAATTTCCCTTTAGCGCAATACCGCTTCAGTTGCGCCACTTATGTGACAGACAAGAAGAGTATGTGACAGACAATAATAGTCAATTCTAATGTCTAACACGTAATGTGGAGAAAGAAATGTCCTGTATGGGTTGATTGTGCGTTGATCTGTTGGTAATGCCTCGGGGCTCCGGTGGGCATGTAAACAAATGCATAATGCTGCGCTATACTTTGTGGCCTAACTCGGTTGCATAGCGACACTTATTGTTTAGGTGTCTTTTAATAAGCAGGTAGTCATATCATTAGCTAGAACTAGCTGGATCTGATCGATATGGACATAAACGCGAGTGAAGTCTAATCTGACGGGAGAGAGAGATCAGCTGCTGCTGCTGACGAGTCGACACGCAGCTCTGCATGATCACATGCAGCGGTGAGCGGACAAAACACACACACTTCAGGTTAGAATATCACTCGTAGCTATTTTAATTACCTATCAAACTACCTAAACTAGTTATAGATATTTTTTTAGTTTTACTGTCGGGTCACTCATTACTGGATCCGCGAGCTGCATGATACTGGCATAATAGATTGCCCGATCGGGCAACCAGCAGGTGAGGCTTCATTGCCCGAGCTAAATACTAGATGGCCCCGGGCCATCGGGCAGTCCTTAATGTCGAGCCCTGGCTACAATTGCATAAGTCATATTTGTGTACTTTTGTTAATGTTGTTGCCGAGTATGTAAGAACTCAAGTGTACGTATTCTTGTAACACAATCAAAGTGAGGCCAACCTACCTCATTTGTGACCTTTGCACCAAAGAGCCAGCCGGCTCCTCTGGGGCTGATGGCCCAGGTGTCCACGTCTTCAGGGTCTGACCACACCAGGTCACAAAAGGCTCCTTTGTGAGGGATCTCCTGGTTCCGCTCAATGGTTCGAATTTGATCCAGAGTTTTTATGTCTGGGGAGAGGCCTCCGTGGACACACAGGATCTGCTCGTCCATCAGCTGAAAACAACCCAAAATTCAGATGTAGGTCCTAAATGTATAGATATAATGAATCAAACTGTATTTATTTTACAGAACCAGCTCATTTGTGGAGGCTTTGTAAGTAAGGAAAGGCAGAATGATCTATCACATTACATGTTGTTTAACCCATGGTTAATAAATATACTGTATTCAGTGGTAACATATATCATCTGGAAAACAAGCTTGCTTACTATATTAAAAAAGTGCATATCAAATGTTGTGTCATGGTTTATGTTTGCAAAAAATGTAGCGGAGAAAGAGAAGAATTAACTAAATTAAAGAGGAGATGGACTGAAATCAACTTCTATGCAATTAAAAAAAAACTGTCCAACCCCCAAAACATGTTGTGATAGTGTCCCAGTAACTTGCCTGTCTTTAATGTAGTCCATGTAAATACTAAGATCATAAAAAGTGAACCATCCTGAGCTTCCCTAGCGATACGCCATGGATTTATCTCTCTACTGAGACATCATTTACCATCAGAAATAAACAAGTTTTAAAGGCATGATGAACTATCATTTATCAGGTCACATATCAATCTTCCTTATTTATTAACAACAACCAAACTCAAAGCCCAGTCACATGGCAATACTTACTGCTGCAACTGTTAACATATCAAACACTTTGGTGCAGTAACGCCAGGCATTTGCATTCCCATACTTGGTCTGGCACTCATCTGAAAGACAAACGGAGTGAACATTTATTTCAAACAGAAAGGTATGATTATTGTCCAGGATGTGAGATATGGGACAGTGCAGATTGAAGATGGGCATTAATCCAATCCTACCATAAAAGCCATACACCTGGGTGATCTGTCTGCTTTCATGGTTTCCACGTAGAAGTGTGATGCGGTCGGGCCATTTGGCTTTCAGCACAAGCAGGTAGGTGAACGTCTCCAAACTGTAATAACCTCGGTCAACAAAGTCGCCCTGCAGATGACAGAGGATTACTAACATCTGTTGAATATAACACATTGAGACGGATTCATTTGAGTTCAAACTTATTTCAATGCACAAACCATAAATATGTAGTTTGTGTCAGGAACCTGGCCGCCCGTTCGGAAGAGTTCACAAAGATCATAAAACTGTAGAACAAAGAGATACATGGTTAGTGCATGCATCACATGTTATGTGTACAAGAGACCAACATCTCTGTAAACCGCAGGATGTGCAGCACCATCAGGGGAGACAAAGGGTTTCCCGCTGAGAACTTCTGGTTCTTACCTGTCCATGTATGTCACCACATACTGTTACAGGAGTGGAGACGGGCTGCACGTTGGACTCCTCCAGCAGAAGGTCACACACGTAATCACATAACCTCTGTATTGATAAAAACACAACACGCAGATGAGTCATCATTCAGCACTAGCATGCTTTTCACTGAGACAATTTTAAGGACAAAGCTTTAACTTAAACTAAAATATTCTTCCAAGTGAACAGCGTGTGAAACGGTTTACAGTCTACGACACCTTGACTCATAAAATCATCTTTAAATCTGATATGTAATATTGTCGTTAAATGAACATATAATAGGGGATGGAAAGATTTATATTTTTTTCACAGATCACAAGAAGAAACTCCCTCAAAAACTGACCATGGTGAACTTCCACTATCGGGCTAAAGCCTACTCAATAAATGTATATTTACAAGACAAGCGAACTTCCCAGTGATCCGCACTGGCCTTACATATGAGGGTCAGGGATGTGTAATCTTATTACTTTCTTAGTACAAACCCACTAGTGTCTATAAAATAAGATATGTTGACATTGACTGCTTGGTCAGTGGGTCACAGCATGACTGTGACTTATAGCCAGCCAAAGAACAGTGCTGGGCTACAAGTGGTTTCATATTTGAGGGTGTACACACATTAGGTTATCAGTGTAAGAATATTTCCCTTGTATACATTACACTGCATGTTCAGGGGCCCAAAAGCAGCTGGAGATATTAAGAGAAGTGTTATTAAAATAATAATAATTTTGACTTGTTCGTAGTTGACATTCACTCTAATCAGCAGATTGTAACCTTCAAACTCACTTTCCTTTAAGTACACCAGTACACTGTGTAACTTACTAGTTATTATAACCTTAATAATTATTTTAAATATGGTGCCAAATTTATTTTACTAGTATTGTTAGTTTCCTACTATCAAAATGCTGTCTCAAGAAGCTAACACAATACTTACATCCATTCAAAATCTTGCACAGTAAATTAAAGGTTCAATGCTTAATGTTGCAGTTTACAGATTGAATGAGGTGTTATATCATTGTAGAAAGTGGATCACATCACTCCAGTTCTGAAGTCTTTACACTGGCTTCCTGTGTGTCAAATAATTGATTTCAAGATACTGCTGCTGGTTTATAAAGCACTGAATGGTTTAGGCCCAAAATATATTTCTGATCTCCTGCTAAATTATGAACCATCCAGATCTCTCAGGTCTTCTGGGACTGGTCAGCTTTCTGTCCCCAGAGTCAGAACTAAACATGGTAAAGCAGCGTTCAGTTATTATGCTCCAAATATAATAACAAACCCCCAGAAACCAGCAGGTCCACTGCAACTCTGACTACTTTAAATCCAGGCTGAAGACTTTTCTTTTTGCCGCTGCTTTTAATTGAACTATTCATATCTTAAACTGCACTGTAACTTTTATTCATGTATTTTTTTATGTTTACCCTACAGGCTAACTTGGCAACCTTGACAAGAGTAAGCTGCTTTTTCTTCCAGGAAAAGACTGTCCCACTCTTGACCTAACAATCAACATCGGCCCCTCTATTGTTTCCCCGACTCAGACTGCAAGGAATCTGGGTGTGACCCTAGATAACAAACTTTCCTTCACTGCAAACATCGCTGCTACAACCCGCTGCTGCAGATACACGCTTTACAACATCAGGAGGATACGTCCCCCCCCTGACCCAGAAAGCCACGCAGCTTCTGGTCCAGGCTCTCGTCATCTCACGCCTAGACTACTGCAACTCCCTCCTAGCTGGTCTACCTGCATGTGCCATCCGACCTCTGCAGCTCATCCAGAATGCAGCGGCTCGTCTGGTCTTCAACCTTCCTAAATGTTCCCACACCACGCCGCTCCTCCGCTCCCTTCACTGGCTTCCGGTAACTGCTAGAATCCACTTCAAGACACTGGTACTTGTGTACCATGCTGCGAATGGATCTGGCCCTTCCTACCAGGGGCGGATCTACCGGGTGGCAACTGCCACCCTAAAAAATAGCCTTGCCACCCCAGCTGCCACTCCAGTTGGCATCTTTGTTTTGAAAGAAAATGGTGGCTCATCGGACATATATGAGAGAAAGTCTCTAAGGTCTGAGTGCAAGTGAAAGCAGCACAAGACGTGAGTCTTGTAACCCCTCCCCCGGCCCTGGCGCGAGCTTGGAAATATGATTGGCGGCGATTTCATTTGAACGGGGGGACGGCGCAAAACGAGAAGCATTTGGACTCAAGTAGACGGAAGGAATGAGGTGCGGTCTACAATGACGGAGAAGAGACTGTCAGTTTGGCTGTACTCAGCATTGAATC